AGGTGCCGCATGGCATTCATCCCCAGAGGTGCCGTGTGGCATTCATCCCCAGAGGTGCCGCATGGCATTCATCCCCAGAGGTGCCGCATGGCATTCATCCTCAGAGGTGCCGCATGGCATTCATCCCCAGAGGTGCCGTGTGGCATTCATCCCAGAGGTGCCGCGTGGCATTCATCCCCAGAGGTGCGTGTGGCATTCATCCCCAGAGGTGCCGCGTGGCATTCATCCCCAGAGGTGCCGCGTGGCATCATCCCCAGAGGTGCCGTTTGGCATTCATCCCCAGAGGTGCCGCTTGGCATTCATCCCCAGAGGTGCCGTTTGGCATTCATCCCCAGAGGTGCCGCGTGGCTTCATCCCCAGAGGTGCCGCGTGGCATTCATCCCCAGAGGTGCCGCGTGGCATTCATCCCCAGAGGTGCCGTGGCATTCATCCCCAGAGGTGCCGCGTGGCATTCATCCCCAGAGGTGCCGCGTGGCATTCATCCCCAGAGGTGCCGGTGGCATTCATCCCCAGAGGTGCCGCATGGCATTCATCCCCAGAGGTGACCGCATGGCATTCATCACAGAGGTGCCGCATGACATTCATCCCCAGAGTTGCAGAGTGGAATTTATCCCCCCAGAGGTGCCGCGTGGCATTCATCCCCAGAGGTACCGCATGGCATTCATTCACGAGGTGCCGCATGACATTCATCCCCAGAGGTTGCGCGTGGCATTTATCCCCAGAGGTGCCGCGTGGCATTCATCCCAGAGGTGCCGCGTGGCATTCATCCCCAGATGTGCCGCATGGCATTCATCCCCAGGGGTGCCGCGTGGCATTCATCCCCAGAGGTGCCGCGTGGCATTCATCCCCCAGAGGTGCGTGTGGCATTCATCCCCAGAGGTGCCGCGTGGCATTCATCCCAGAGGTGCCGCATGGCATTCATCCCCAGAGGTGCCGCCTGGCCGCGGCGGCGGGACCGCGCCGCCGCTGCCGCGTCCTCGGCCCCGCTGGCCCGTAACACCGCACCTCGGCTGACGCGCCCTCTGCTCGGTCTGTCACCGCCGTGACCGTCGCCGCCGACAGACGCCGGCCAGCCTCCGAGTGGTAATGAGGCGACCCGGAGCCGCCGACAGCCGGCCGGCCGTTCGCGCCCCGGCGCCGTCCGGCGGGGGCCGACGCCTCTCTGGGTGGCGTGACGCTCCTGGTCGGGTGCGGCGTTCCCCGCGGCGGCCGCGACCCAGCGGCAGCGCGCAGCGCCCCGGCGGTCGCCGCTCGATCCGCCTCCTCCTGCGGCGTGCGGCTCCAGTCGCGCCATTACTGCCGCAGCCGCCGCGTCCCGGGGCCCGGCCGGAATGTATTATCACATTTGCCGGCTGGCTGACGCTCGGACTCGCCTCGTGTCGCGGTCTCATCAGGATTGTTCCTCCTGGAGATTTAGCAGGCCGGCGAAACCGCTATCTTGACAGAGGTGTCGAGATGCTGCGCAGATTGTGAGGGTGCGTGGCATGGAATGAAATTATACGAGAGTCAAAGGACCACTGTTTTTTTGGTGCTGGCAATCTTTGTAGAGAGATTTGGGCATCATTAGGCGCCTCGAAGTAGTATCCGATGCATTTCTGTCAATGTGCTTAGCCCAATTATCGGAACCAAAGAAGGTGAGATGTGACAGAGTTTCGCATTTTACATAATCGCGAATCGAGTTCAATGTGGTTTCGCCAGGATGTTGCTTATAATAACTGTTTCGCTAGCACCGGTCGTTTTAGGTGAAGTGATGTATCGGCAGAGTCAGCCTGCTGTGATGACCACGACCAGGCAAACGTAGTAGCTTTTCACGATATCTCACAATATTTGGAGATGCAAAACGATATCTCTCTCTCTTTCTCATCGCGCCACCCGCTTAAGAGAGGAGGGCTTCTCTCTCTCTCTACAGATGAGTGCCTCTCTCTTCTCTCCTCTCTCGAGAGGAAAGCCTCTCTCTCTCAGTCGATCTACTCTCTCGCCGTACTGGCTCTCTCTCGATCTCTCTCTCTCTCTCTCTCTCTCTCTCTCTCGCCTCTCCCCTCTTTTTCCCTCTCTCTCTTTTCCTCTCTCTCTCTCTTTCTCTCTTTCTCTCTCTCCCCCTCTCTCTCTCTCTCCCTTCCTCTCTCCCCCTCTCTTTCTCTCTGTCTTTCTCTCTCTTCACTTATATATGCGCTGGAGAGTAGGATGCCTTCAACGCTGAAAGATATGCTGGGACTGGGTCGTAATCATTCCTCGTCACTGTTCCGTTCTCGCTCATCTTTGCCCTGCGCTGTCAGTGACGCTTCTCTTCCGGTGCCACCTTAATAAGCCGAACCACGGCGACGTACTCCCTTCGATGTGAAACATGGGGATACCCACGTCTCTGGTTGTGATCAAAAACCACGCTGTCAGTTGTATGGGAGACAAAACAGACTTTTGCATGTCCAGATCGCCTCCCGTCTTCGACTTACAGTGCAGTTATAAGCTAGAGGTGTCTCAGAGAGAGACGTATTCTTCTTTTCCCACTGTTGGAGTCCGTCGGGGACGTGACCCGGAGGCGACCCGGGTCACGTCGCGCGTACTGCGCTGCAAATACGTGTGACGAGAAGCGTGTCGGGTGGCGCTAGATAAAGCCATTTAGGAAGGGCACGCCTCTAATCTGAATGGAGCGTGCGAGTGCGACATAAAGAAGTACATTCCATTGATTGTGGTCCTATATACATTTTCTGGCAGCGAGCTGGCGAGATAAGCTCTTGTTGACGTCGGCACAGTGGGAACGGTCAATGTTACGCCGACAAACTAAGCATAGTTGTTTGTTTAGCCATGACTGAAGCTGACTCTGTTCGGATACTTCAGCCCGGTCACTTCCGTCAGTCCGCAGCGCATCGTCCTGCCATTTCAGTCTTGTCATGTCCGTTATGTGCCATTGTATTGGATTTGCCATTATATCGTATTAGACAGATCATATCATTTGTATCATATGGCTCAGCTTAATGTCTAAGTTAAGGTCAGATTCAGCTATCAGCTGTGGGCATGTTGCGATGCAGGGATTCACTCAAACATTTTTTTCTGTACGTTGGGAGAGGTGCTACTTACAACCAGGGCAGATTTCTGCTCGGCTGTGATTCTGGGCGGGCTGTTCCACTGAGTCACCATACTGAGTCATACCTTATCTACATACTATATCATACTATATCTATATACTATATCTATGTCATACTATATCTATATCACCATACTTTTAGCTAAGTCAGGATGGAGTCGAATCATACTGCAGTATATGCATGTTCAACACAGGAGCTCTGCTGTACTCAGCCTGCAAACTGCACAAAATCCATGTGCGAATACAAAAGTGATATATGTGGACACACACCCTCACACACCTCACAGACAACCCTCACACAACACACACACACACACCAACACACCCTCACACACACACACACACCACACACCACCCACACACAACCACACACACACACAACACACACACACACACACACACACACACACACACACACACACACGCACACACACGCACACACACACACACACACATATATATATATATATATATATATATATATTTATATTTATATATATATATATATATATATATATATATATAAAGATCATATATATTTATAACATTTTTTTGCGAATGTCTGAAAACTACATGTACGCAGCACTTCTATCGCCCCCCTTCGTGCTGCGTTGCCTCGCAACTCAAGTGGCTGGCCGGCAGTCTGCCTGCTGTATTGCGCGGTCCAGATCCTCATTCCTCATCATCCCATTTGAAAGCGGTTCCCATTTAATCACCGTTCACAATTGCCCTTTTCTCTAACTCAATGCTCACTCCTTATTGCACGACAATGAAGCTTGTATAGCATGTTTTATGTATGCTGATATTGATTATAACATCGTGGGTATCGTTAACAGGTGTCCAACTACTTCAGGTGTATGCTGGTCAGTGTTAAATGCGATATATTAAAACAGTGCGTTAAAAAGGAAGCAAATTGTGTCAGCTTCCGTGAGATCTCTCAAACTGGGTACAGTCATTTATAGTCATTCAAGATCGCAGTCGTGTTCGTCAGAGGCAACTCGGTTTCTTTTAAGATCGCCAGGGTCAGGTGTGGAGTCGGCTCGTGTAAAGGTCAGCGGGGCCAGACCAGAATGAGCGCTCCGTACAGCGAATTGGGGCCAGCGTCGGCAGCCCACCTGGAGTCGAACAGTCTGTGAAGTATCAGATGAACCATTACCACAGCAGTGACAATGGCTTATTTGATACTTGCACGGTGTTTTAAGCCCAAAATCATGAAACATCAGCTAAGCTCTGAGGTGTACGGGATTTTGATTACACGCTTTATGTAGATAGACGGTTGTATTCTTATTCAAATTAGCCGCTCTTGTCCAAAGTCAGGCTCAAGTCATTGAACGCAATTGCAGCAGCATGTTGATTTAAGGTTTCGTGCGGGAAAGGCAAGCTGAGATAGCGTATATTTACAATGAACATCCGCGCACGTTAAACTTATCATCTTTATCAAACCAGGCCAGTAGAAGGACGCAACCAAAATGCTTCCATGAGCACAGCAGGGAGCCTAAATTCAAAGGCCGGCTTCGACGTGACGTCAAAGGGAGCGGCACTACCCAAGATAGCATCGGTGACTCATCGTCCAATCCGACTTTGATGTGGCTTCTCATTATCATACAGAGCACCTGTTCGCTGCCAGCGGTCTACAGCCACGCTTAAAACAGCACAACAAGCCACAGCGCTTATGTGTGGCAAGGGCTTCGCCGTTACAAATTAGGACTTTGCTGTGCCCTATTATGTTTCTTGAAGAATGTTGATCAATCCCGCGAGTACCTCAAACCATCCATTATCGCCAAGTCTGCGAGCTGATGGGCACCAACAGTGACCTGACTATTCCCTCACAGCGTTGCAGACGTGTGTCTCACCATAACGCCAGAGCAATAACGTTGATGGGGCCCGCCCTCACCGCCATATCTACTCGTTTCAGAGCAAGAGCACCAACAATGACCTGACGTTCGAGGAGGGCGGCGCAGCGGCGCCGTTGCCCGAGCCGCTGCCGGTCGCCGCCGCCCGCACGTCGCTCCTCGCGCGCCACAAACGCCAGATCTGGAACGTCTTCAACGGCGGCGAAGACGACTACCACTACGAAGACTATGAAGACTACGGCGATGAGGAGGAGGAGGAGGGCGTGCCGTCGGGTGACGCCTTGCTGCCGGACCGGGCACTGCCCCCCGACGACGAGGACCTCGTGACGGAGGGCTCGGGGCCGCTCGACGGCATCACTGGAGTCGGGCCGCGCATAGGGACCACGCCGGCGCTGCCCACCACGCCGCCGGGACTCGGTAAGCTCCTGCCGTCGGACAGCTTGCGGCGGGCGGGCGGGCCGGGGTCGGCGCGAGGGCGGTGTCCGGGTATGGGGCCGAGGGGTGGTGCGAGGGTGGTGTCCGGGTATGGGGCCTAGGGGCGGCGCGAGGGCTGTGTCCCGGTATGCGGCCCAGGGGCGGCGCGAGTGCGGTGTCCCGGTATGGGGCCTAGGGGCGGCGCGAGGGCGGTGTCCCGGTATGCGGCCTAGGGTCGGTACGGGGGCGGTGTCCCGGTTTGGGCCTTAGGAGCGGCGTGAGGGTGGTGTCCCTATATGGGGCCTAGGGGCGGCGCGAGGGCGGTGTCCCGGTTTGGGCCCTAGAAGCGGCGTGAGGGCGGTGTCCCTATATGGGGTCCAGGGGCGGCGCGAGGGCGGTGTCCCGGTTTAGGCCCTAGGAGCGGCGTGAGGGTGGTGTCCCTATATGGGGCCTAGGGGCGGCGCGAGGGCGGTGTCCTGGTTTGGGCCCTAGAAGCGGCGTGAGGGCGTGTCCAGGGGGGGGCGCGAGGGCGGTGTCCTGGTTTGGGCCCTAGAAGCGGCGTGAGGGCGGTGTCCCTATATGGGGCCTGTGGGCGACGCGAGGGCGGTGTCCAGGCATGGGCCCAGGGGCGGCGCGAGGGCAGTGTCCAGGCATGGGGCCTAGGGGCGGCATGAGGATGGTGTCCGGGTGTGGGGCCTAGGGGGCGGCATGAGGATGGTGTCCAGGTGTGGGGCCTAGGGGCGGCATGAGGACGGTGTCCGGGTGTGGGGCCTGGGGGCGGCATGAGGATGGTGTCCAGGTGTGGGGCCTGGGGGCGGCATGAGGACGGTGTCCGGGTGTGGGGCCTGGGGGCGGCGCGAGGGCAGTGTCCGGGCGTGACCAAAGGCGCCGACGCGCTGCGGATGGGTCGTCAACTCCAGCCGTCGTATGCCATGCGATAAACAGCCCACGGATGTTTCGATTTAAGCCTGTCGCTGCAAACCTGCATCTTCGGATTCTCCTGGCCTGTGTGGAGGTCGAAGACGACCACTGAACACCACTACCGGAGCTAGTCCGACGCACCCGCTGCTTTCCACATGGCGGCCATTCATTCGATTTGTCTCTCAAAGCGTAATGGTCGCACTCACAAACGTCACGCTCGTCGGTAGCTCATTATAACCCGGCCACCCTCCAGACCACCAGAGTATGGTTATTCACGCTCCAGACCATCCTGAACTCTGCCGGCTCCCTGGCGCGTGCGTACCACGAGCCGCCCTCCTTTTGTGTCACGCACGAGCCGCCCGATCAGTGGACGTCTGTCGTGACCTCCCGCGTTGGTGCGACTCACTACGCGCGGGAGCGCTCCAGACCAGTGAGGTCACCCTGCTACCGCGCGGATAAGAGGCTCGGTGGACGGCCGGCGCGCTCCATACAGTCGTGACGACATGCTGTCATAGATTAACATACTCGTGCTCGGTGATAGCGTGTCACAGAGATACATCCTCCAGCACCAGAATCTTCGTTTGAAACATTTTTGGACACGCGCACAGATAAGCTAGCAATGCAGCTACCACTATGGAAAAAGCATGTCAAGAGTTTATTAGTGTTCACAACACGCTTGATTAGTAAGGATACAATTGGGCGGGCCGCGCGGCGTGGCACGCTGGCTCCGGTTGTAACCTGAAACTTGTTGCCTATGATGTGGCGTGACTTGCAGCGTCAAAGTTTGCAACAACGGCGAAATTGACCAACGCGGGGGGAGGGGAGGGGGGTGGGGGTGGGGGGTCTGCAAGGGTGAGCAGTCATTTCAGGCCACTGGGACGAAAGGGTCTGTAGGTGAGCTGCAAGAGTGCAAAGGTGTCGGCAGCACTCTTCGAGGGGAGAGGTCTGCAAAGGTAGTCCGAGATGCATTGGCGAATGTCTGCAGGAAATGCAAAGCATCCTCTGTACATCCACTGGGATAGTACTGAACGGACCTTTATCTGACGCAACGAGTGCAGGAGCGGTACGGTGGCTGCTAGGACGGCGCGGGCACCACATTAAGTGATGCGACGCGGGTATGTCACAGTGACAGTGTGGGGGCGTTGCGATGTCTGTCGGGACAGTGCGGGGGCGGCAAACTGTCTACCGGGACTCTGTGGGGGCGTACAGCCGGCCAGCCGGTCCCAGACCGATGTGACCCATGCGTGGAAGCCGGCGGCCCGTGCAGCCGGCGACGGCGCCGCCCGAGCGCCTCTGACTCACTGGCGCACCGCATGCCAGCCGTCTGCCGCCGGCGGCGCAGACATGAGCTGACCTGGCCGCTGCGGGCGCGGCCGCCGCCGGCCCTCTCCGGTCGAGAGGGGGGGGGGGGGGCGAGCCCAGTGACACCTCTCCAAACAGCGGTTCACGTATGCTCACGTGCTAGGTGAACGGGCTTGTAACCGGGGAAGTGGGACATGCGGACGGAGTTGAAGTTTTGCTGCGGTGCAGACGAACGGTGCTGTGCTCCAGACATTACATTTCAATTCAAATTTCATTTATTAGCGTTCGAGGTGAAACCGGGCGTCAATCTCTGCTGAGAGTACCGATAAACAAGCAGCCAACAAGGCAACGCAGATGTTCGGTCTGCGCCTGCAAGGCGGCGTCAATTAGCTCCTCCCGTCAGCTCATCCGTTGTGAAAAGTACGGCACACTCACCAGTCCATGCTGTATGGGCTGGCCATTGTTCGTCGGTGTGACTGGCGGTGCAGCCCTAAGCGGGACGGTGTAGACCGATCATAACCGGGTCCCAAAGGGAGCAAGAGGCACGAAACGGGACCAAGCGGGTAGTTTCTGTGAAAGGAATCTTCCAATGTCCAGTGTATCTCCTTGGGATCTGGCTGCTGACCGTACAGGTCAGGTCAACTTAAACGTTCGGGAACGCAAAACTGAAACCTTGCGCTTTTCCGGAGTAAGGACGACTCGCTTACGAGGCAAACGAGTATAAACTCTTGCTCTGATCCGGTAGCGTCGAACCGACCTCACGTAAAAGGAATTTGTCAGGTCACTGACCTTGTTTACCTTGAAAAGTTCAGCGATTAATCAGGAGTGACCTGTGCTCTTGTAGTTCACTGTTATATACCCTTTCACGCTGAAGGATGCCATTCACTGACAATAAACGGCGACAAGAGACATCTGTGTCATAAAGATAGCTACGTACCCACTCAGAGATAAAAACATACCTTAGTAACTATGGATTACCTTGGTTCACTATTTGCCTTGTGCGAAATATTCCTTATTAATGTATCATCGGCTACTGAAAGCTTCACGGCGACCGTTAATAGATTTTTCGTGATCTCAGAAATATTGCTCAGTACTACTAACCACCACTCACCTGTTGATAGTTCAGTTATGTTAATGATTGTGATTTCCTCGTATGGTTATTATGTGATGATTCTGTGTCTTTTCAGTTGGGGTTCCTAAACTGGCCTAAGCACACCGATGTGGCAAATTGTTCATCGCAAAAATCTTACTAGAAGCTGTGTTCTATCAATCTTTATCATCTAACTTTCTGGCAATCAGCCTGAATCCCAGGGCAATGAGAGCAACTTGCAGCCTCAAAATCATTTCATGCCTTAGAAATGTAACGTCGGAAAATAAGTTTTGGAACACAATCATAAACATAACCAAAGTCTTTAATATCAAGAGAACATACATACATACCCACCAGCCTGCTAAGCATGTCTTTGAGCTCAGATTAAAACAAAGTTTTGAATTAGTTGTAGCGTTGCCTTTACTTGTTTGGATTCTGATGGAGTTAATAAAATTAGGTCTGCTCATGTAACGAACAAATGCTGCCTGAACACTGGACCAAAGGTGGTTCAACTTGGGATCTTGTACAGGATATGGGAAATCTTATGTAATGCTGCGCTGATTTAAAGGGGTCCCACCCCCACTGTTCCCCTGGATAACCCGCCACAGCTGGACCATCCATATCTTGCAAAGGGGGAGGGGATCAATTTGGCGGCCCTGAGCTGAGCAGCAGGGCAGGTCGGCTACTGGTAACACCAGAAGTATGTACCCCCACCGGTGCACGTGCGGGCGTGAGTCAGTGGCCAGAGTACTCCGACCACTCGCAGTGATGGCCGCACCACACTTGATCTGCTGCAAACGCTGACTAGTGAGACAACAAATGCATATTGCAGCTGACGGCCGCGCGTGGCAGGAACACATCTTGTTGGGCCGGCTGCCAAAGGAAACAGTGTCTCGGCATGAACGAAACTCCTGGAATGTAGCAAACCGCCCGTCCGATAGATGAGTTAGTACGTCGCGTGTGCGCATGCATTATGCATACATGACTTACAGCCCGTCGTATTATATCATTGATATTAGATGGATAGTTCACGGGGCATTTTAAAAGACGTTTTAGATGCAATATTTTACGTAGCGCAATGCGCGTACTTCACAAACGTTAGGAGAAATTGAAGCACGCTAATCAAACTTGGCGGACTAAGAGAGCAAAGTACCAGTGTCACGGAAAGCGCACTTGTACGGACGTCCTCGTCTGGCTTACGAGGGCGACAGTCCGGAGGACCCTTCCGTCCATAGTTGTACGGGCGTCCTCGTCTGGCTTACGAGGGCGACAGTCCGGAGAACCCTTCCGTCCATAGCTGCTGATCAAAGATTTGGAAGCCTTCCCACGCCGCGACTAAGCTCTGGAGCAGCAGCAGTAGTATGCTCAGCTCCTTGCTTGCTCCGCACAGAACGTCAGCTGGCGAGTCAGCTGTTCAGCTGACCTCTGACCAGTGAAGGTCAGTCAAGTATTTCATGTGACGCCAGTGGCCCTACCTAGTTATCCTAAGCTTCAGCTCAGGTAGTTACCTTCCCCTCTTCCAGACGTCAGGCAACATATCACTTTTTGAATTTGATGCAGGAAGCATGCTTTGTCGTGAGCTGTTTGATTTATTCGCATTTATTTAAATCATTTATTAGATGGGTCGGAAAGAAACACCAACTTGAATAGTGTTGTCTTCCCCAGAAACTAGCTCCACGCGTGGCTTAGCATCTTTTTCGCGCATATTAGGCGCGCAGTTATTGGCATTCAGACACCCTCAATCCCCAAACGTCTTTACATGCTACTGCGTAAGTTTTGCGGATGAATTCCAGACCAAATATGTGTCGCGCTAATTCGCAAATGGCTAAACACGTCGTCACTAGTTAACTGTCAATATTGAACGCAGAGAAGCATGCAGTTGTTTTAAGGCAAGACAGCGAGTTTCAACAGATAGTTTATATGTCACTACTCCCCAAGATTGAGTCTGGCGATTGCGGGCAATGGCAATTTCACCAGCGCCGTAGACGCCATTTTCAAGACGGGATGAAACCATAGCTGAATGTGGCGATGTAAAGTTTTGCAGCGCCCGCCTGGCGGCTTACTTCCAGCTGAGAAAGGAAGAATACAAATGACTTGTTTATTCCTCAACTTGGCTTCATTAATCCTGGTGGACTTATCTGGAATGGTTTTGATCTTCCTCAAACTTTTCCTATAAATTTTGTAAATTCGTTGGAAAGCTTACGGCAAATCTATTCTAATGCGCAAAACTTGGCGGAGACGTGGAATTTGTGGCATGTTGAGCTGACACTAGGGAAAGCTCGTCATGAGCAGCGTTGTGGCGTGGAATTTGTGGCATGTTGAGCTGACACTAGGGAAAGCTTGTCATGAGCAGCGTTGTGCGTTGCACGGTAGATCCGTCAGAGCTAAGCGGGGTAAAATATTAGCAATGCTTCGAGTTTCAAAAATATTAGAAATAGGCTCGCGGAGCATACACTTGCCTGGTAATGTTAGGCAGGTAGAAACACATTGTGATTTTCTTGTGAACTGCACGGGAAACAAACCTTTGTTCGCATCTGCCGACCTATAAGGTCAGCACAGCATTGTAATTCGCACGGCATCGCTTCGAAGAAGCTGCTAACTCTCATAACAATTCTGCCATTTACAAAATTACAGATGTACTAGAAGGATGCTTCACAATAACAGGCATGCGAGAGACAGTTTCGCAGCCAACAGTATGGAACCGCTTTAGCCTTTAGATAAAGGTATCAAATAAACTGTCGGATAAACAAATTGTCAGACATTGTCTACCTGTCTACTAACTACCAGGCGTTGGCGGTCTTGACACTTGGAGTGTCTGGCAGCGCCTTGGCCTTCTCATAAGGTATCGTAAATGCCTTTGGTAGTGTAAATCGCGAAGGAGATAGTAAAGCAGGACAAGTAAAACATATCATAGATATTTCCTAACAGCTCGTGGACACTATGACAAAACCTTACCGGTAGAAATGCGCATCCTGTTTTGAATATGTATATGCTAACACGGGATCGTAGGGTGTGCATGTATATTAGCCATCCTGAATGGCAGGGACAAACCTGGCGATCGCGGTGCCTCGGGGGGTAAGGTACAATGGTGAGACGCAATGTGGACTTGGGCAGCATCGCATTCTCCTGTCAACACGGATGTGATCACACGTAATCTGTTTAAATAACAATAGTGCTCTTCACCCATGAGGCCAGTCGTCCTTCATCACTCATCTGTCTCCTGATAGCGCATTGTTGACGACAGACCGACAACAAGTGAGTGTTAGCGCGAACGCTCAGCGACGTATTTTCCATGAGCGTGTTTCACCAGCTGCGTGCAGGACGGGTGACACCTACCTTTCTTGTCACTCTCACCAGGCCGGCCAGCTAAAGGCTGGTCATTAACGCTTCCCGGTAGCGCGAGGTCGTGTTAAGAGTTTGCGCCCTTAGATGGCAGGCGCGCACGTACACCTACCGGGTTTAGTAGCAGTGAATGTGACTACAGGGAGCAACCGATGCTCACCTCTGGACTAGTTATCCTTGACAATGGAGCATTTACAGACAGCTTCAGATGCGATTCTCCTCACAGTAATCCTTCGTCTTCGTATTCCTGGTTATTGCAGACGCTTGGACAGAACCCTTGTTAACAGCTTCGGTGTGCAACTGTAAACTTTCCGGGAATATGGAACGAGTGGAAAATGTTTTGTAAAACGTTCCTCCGATCTGAAAAGCGAGAACAGCCGTCTTAAAGTTTTCTGCCGAAAAGTTTGATGAAATCTGACACTGATCTAAACAGTTTTGACGACTGGCCCGATGCGAACGCAAAAACCCATACTTCAGCCAGTTCGAAAAAGTCAACGCCGCCACACACGTCGAACTGCGACGCTGGCGCTCTCCGCCCCCCCCCCCCCCCCCCCCCGTCCCCCGCACCCCCTCCCACGTTGCCGCCCCTTTAGCAGCTTCTCCGTGAGCTATCAGCCCTTCGTGAGCGCCCGGGTTCCCTGTTCCAGTGTACTACCGCCTGACCCTGACCCTGGGCGAGGCTTGCGAGCCAGTGGAGCACGCGGCCTTCCTGGCGGACGCCGTTCAGGAGCTGTACGACACCACACCTGGCCGCCAGGTGGCAACAGTCATCCAGGCCAGGTATGCACGTCATCCAAGGGAGAGGAATAAGCCTGTGCCGTCATTCAGGTAGGAGTCGACGTGGACGACAGGGTGCGAGCGTGTGCTGTCGTCCTGGCACCACCCGTCTTTTAGCTATGGAGGATTGTGTATGCTGCCGTTCGGGAGCGAGCCACCATCCAGGAACGAGGCGCGCACGTGTGTTGTCTCCCGTCATGCAAGGTAAGCACAGGCATCAAGGCACGGGGTATGGGGCATACCTACGTGTTGGGGCGTGTGCCGCCATTCAGGTAGGGATCGGCATCCAGACACTTAGTTACCTACGTTTGTGCACGTGTCATACGTGCCATCCATTCACGGAGTGCACATTTGTGTCGTCGCCTGCCATTCAGGTGCACACATGCTCCCATCCGGGTGCGGAGTGAGAGTGTTTTTAAACTCCGGTATGGAGCGTGCTCCGCGTTCGTCATCTGAATGAGGCAACCCATACCTTCACACGAGAAACCTGTCGTTCGGGCAGGCTATGGACGTTATTCACTCAGGCAAGGAACGAACGCATTCTGTTGTGAAAGTTAGATATAGATGTAAAACATCAGTCTTGCAAGATGTGGGTGGCATCAGACGTAGGTAATATTTGATTTGTGCCAATGATTCTTTCTTGGCTTAGACGTGTTTTCTCTCTCAGGTGCACAATGGCAGGTCACGGTTGCGACTCTCGTGGTCGCATGGTCTGTGCATTTGTCTACAACTGTGCCATTGCATCGTCACAGGATCACACTGCAGTATTGTAGAGCCGCTCGGCCAGTCCCTGCTGGAATCCTGGCGTACATGGCATGCCTCCAAACGCTGGATGTCGGCAGTTGCCAGAGAGCCCAAGCGTCAGCACTGAGTTGGGCTGCCTCTGTCTGTGCCGCCAGCACTGAGTCGGGCTGCCTCTATCTGTGCCGCCAGCACTGAGTCGGGCTGCCTCTATCTGTGCCGCCAGCACTGAGTCGGGCTGCCTCTATCTGTGCCGTCAGCACTGAGTCGGGCTGTCTCTATCTGTGCCGTCAGCACTGAGTCGGGCTGCCTCTATCTGTGCCGCCAGCACTGAGTCGGGCTGCCTCTATCTGTGCCGCCAGTCCCGGCTACGTGGGATCCTCCTGCGACTACACCGTGGACCTGACATCCCAGGACTTCGACGACCAGGCAGAATTCGAGCGTGTGCTGGCCGACGCACGGGACAAAAGAGAGATCGATGGACATCCCTTCATCGACTTCCGGATGCGCCGCTTCGGAGGCAAGCTGACGGCCGCGTGTGTTGGGCATGCCAGGATGGATGTCGGAATAGATGGAGACCCCTGGTAGTGTAGTAGTTGATTGTCATGCGGGACCCTTGCAAGTTGTCCGCTTCCCTGTCTTTTACGCTTGTCTCTGTTTTCACGTGCATCGGGTACTGCATCTAAGCCTGCAGCCTGTGTCAGGTCACAGTCACTGATGAGTTTATGTTCAGTTGCGCTGTACACACGCTCAAACCTCTGGGATATCTCGCTTGCCCTTCTGGGCGGTTTCGGCCATCTTGGCCCCACTTTAGGCCAACAAGCGATGACAGGCGGATCCCGTCGATGCTCTTCGTTCTAGAATGTTCCACCAGCTTATCAGATACTTCAAGTAGATGGCATATTTCGTGGGCATGATTGTAGCTGTCGTCACGTAGCTGCGTTTTGCTGTCCTGCGGTTGGCTCTGACTGGCGACCGCATGCCTTTTCTCCGTCGTGCGGTGCCACCTTACGGTGGAGACGTCCCGGCGCGCCGCTGGCGCCGGCAGCTCTGTAGCACCGGTGGCGCCACCTACATCGGCCGTGGCGCCCTCTGTCCGCGCGCAGGGCTGCCGAGTGAGCCGTCGGCGGCGCCGGAGCGGACGTGTACCGAGTACGAGCTGCGCTGTCGCAGCGGCGAGTGTCTGCCGCAGACAGCGCGCTGCAACGGCCTGGCCGAGTGTCGCGACGGCTCCGACGAGCTGGGCTGTCCTCTGGCCACCACCCCGGCCGGCCCAGTCGACCCCGACGGTGAGTGTGCGCCCCCGCCCGTCTCCCATCACGGCGTCGGTCCCCGTTCGGAGGAGGTGATGGGTGCGCCGCCTTCTCAGACCCCGGCCGGTGCCCCGTCGCCGACGGTGAGTGGGCTGCCTCCGCCCGACAACGGCCGCGGAGCCAGCACCTCCGACACACATATTGTGCGTGCTGCCCCCTCCCCCCCCCCCCCCCCGGCGTGGACCAGCGAGTCGCGGCCTCTGATGCTGATAGTTAGCATCTGGCGCCGCCACTGCGCCGACTGGGTGTGGTGTTTGGCCCGTACGCGACCGAACGGCGGCCGTTGGAAACGTAACACCTGAGACTAATAGCATAACCTGAAGCGGTGGCGTGAGCACAGGAACACGCCAGATGGCTGGCACACTGGACGGTCTGCTACGCCACATATGGTGTGCACCGCAATGCATGGCCGTGAGGAGCGTCCAGCCGCTGCATGATCAGCACAATCACTAGCTAACAGCGCTCGCCGGCGTGGCGCCACACGGAGTGCGTAGAGGGCTCGCATGTGCCATGCTTTGCAGATCAGGGCAAAGAGCCGGAGGCGATGTGTCGGGGCGACAATGTGGCCTTCTGTAGCGACGGCACACTGATCTGCGAGGTGCAGCTGTGTGACGGCAAACGGGACTGCCCGGGTGGCGACGACGAGAACAACTGCCCCGACAAACCATCGTCAGACGGTAGGCGCGCGGGGGCGTTTGCTTTGACGGCACAGCGCCGACAGTAGGCCTTGCAAGGACCGGATGAACCGCCGTCACGCGGGCGTGCCCCAAGAAAACGCTCTGGAGGCAGCGGGTGCCGCAGCGGCCCCACCCGTGAACTATGTAGTCTGAGGGGGTGTTGAATGGGAGATAAGCGCCGCCTCCGTTTGACTTCACGGACTGGCCAGGGTAAACTTCGGCGTTCTCTTCCCCTCCACACAGAGGAAACGTGTCGTGAGCGTAAGGTCACGGAATTGATTTCGCTGGACGATGTTCTTCCCGTCCGTCGCACTGGTTCAGACGTACCGCTTTAGCAGGCTGTTGTAGTCCACATGCCAGCGTAGTGTAGACGCGCATGCCGACGCCTGTAAGGGCGGATCTCACTACTGACCCAGCCGTGTAACTGCATGTCTTGGCACCAGTAGCACTGATCGTAACAGCGACTAAGTTCGATCGGTTGTGGTGCGCCGAGGTCCTCCGCGCGTTGTCCTGTCCAGCCCTTGCCGAGCGTTTGCGGGGGTCGGTTGCGCTGCCGGTTTGGACAGGTGGACACCTTGCCTGGTTGCCGTGGTAACGCATGCGCTGTGTCGGCCGGCCAGTGTGCGGCGCCTCGGAGCTTCTCTGTGACGTCAGTCGATGCGTGCCGTTCACCCGCCGCTGCGATGGCGTCCAGGACTGCACCGATGGACAGGACGAGATTGACTGCCCGGAAGGTAAGCGGAGACCGCACCGATGGACAAGACGAGATCAACTGTCCGGAAGGTAAGCAGAGACTGCACCGATGGACAGGACGAGATCGACTGTAACCGCACCGATGGACAGGACGAGATCAACTGTCCGGAAGGTAAGCGGAGACTGCACCGATGGACAGGACGAGATCAACTGTCCGGAAGGTAAGCAGAGACTGCATCGACGGACAGCACGAAATCAAGTGTCCGTGGCGTCAGCCGAGGCTACACTGGTGGAGAGAACTTGCAAAATGACCAACGCGGTGGAAGCGCCCCTAAACCGAAACGTTATCGATGGAAAGGACTCGGCGAGGGCCTCGGAAAACAAGCATCGCAGCTGCCTGGTCTTTCCGGATGATATATGAGCTCACACCTGCTGGGGCATCAGTGGCGCCCTCTCTGGCAGCGTCCCGCGTCCGACGGCGCAGCTTCAGGCTGGACCAGAGTCTCCCCTGACCTGAACACCTGCTGGGGCATCAGTGGCGCCCTCTCCGGCAGCGTCCCGCGTCCGACAGCGCAGCCTCAGGCTGAGCCAGAGTCTCCTCTGACCTGAGAGCACCCTGAGCCCCCTCCCCCCGTCTCCCTCCCACGGCTTGCAGCTGTGCCGGCGCTGCGCGCCCGCCGCGGTGTTGGATGGCGCTCGGCGGACCGTTCACGTCTGACGGCTGCAGCCGGCGGGGCCGGCTGTATTCTGACGGCGCCGGTCGTCAATGACACTGTGCAGCAGCCGCGCGCTGTTTGTCTGTGCTGACCTCATGTTCGAACGCCGCCGCCGCCGGCCTCGCCGCCTGTGTGTCTGTCTGGTATGCTGCCGCTGCCCGTGTCGCCGGGGAGAGCGTGGGCGGAGGCGGGGCGGCTTCCTGCTCGGACGTGACGGGAGCCGGAACGGCTGTCTGAGGCCCGACCGGACCCGACTGGACCCAACTCACCCCCCCCCCCCCTCCCCCGCTCGCGACTGACGAGCGAGACGAAACGGCTGGCCCGACCGGACCCGACTGGACCCAACTCCCCCCCCCCTCCCCCGCTCGCGACTGACGAGCGGGACGGAACGGCTGTCTGAGGCCCGACCGGACCCGAGTGGACCCAGCTCACCCCACCCTCTCGCGACTGACGAGCGAGACGGAGCGGCTGGCCCGATCGGACCCGACTGGACCCAACTCATCCCACCCGCTCGCGACTGACGAGCGAGACGGAACGGCTGTCTGAGGCCCGACCGGACCCGACTGGACCCAGCTCACCCCACCCGCTCGCGACTGACGAGCGAGCCGGAACGGCTGTCTGAGGCTCGACCGGACCCGACTGGACCCAACTCCCCCTCTCCCCCGCTCGCGACTGACGAGCGAGACGGAACGGCTGTCTGAGGCCCGACCGGACCCGACTGGACCCAGCTCACCCCACCCGCTCGCGACTGACGAGCGAGCCGGAACGGCTGTCTGAGGCTCGACCGGACCCGACTGGACCCAACTCCCCCTCTCCCCCGCTCGCGACTGACGAGCGAGACGGAACGGCTGTCTGAGGCCCGACCGGACCCCACTGGACCCAGCTCACCCCACCCGCTCGCGACCGACGAGTGAGACGAAACGGCTGGCCCGATCGGACCCGACTGGACCCAACTCACCCCCCCCCCCCCCCCTCCCCGCTCGCGACTGACGAGCGGGACGGAATGTGACGCACGCGACTCGACGGGGACGACTCGCAAGTCGCCGGAAAGCCGACTGGTGACTCGACTGCGACGGTCAGCCTGGTCGCGTGTGGTCCGGTCGGTATGACGGTCTGTGAGGCCGCGGGGCTCTCGCGGACGCGAGCTTGATGTACGGCGTTTTTATGTGTGTGTTGCAGTCATCCAAACACATTAATACTTGACCTCTGCTCATTTATCTGGCTGTTGGAGGCTGTCAGACAGTATTTCGTCCAGCAGTTCTCAATAAAGTGAGAACTGTTTAACCAGGCTTCTTTGGAAGCCCGGAAGACTTGTCCATATGACAGCTTTGCTTAATCACAGCTCGCTTCGTTCAGAGTCGGGTTGCAATCTGTTTATTGATATAGACTGCACACAGGGAAGGGCTTACGCATGGCGTGCGTGGACATGGTGACCCATCACGGCAAAATGTTACTGTATAGTGAATATGAACAAGCTTAAGTGATTAGGTTCACCATCACCGAACACATGGCGCTTGTGTCAGTTCTACTCTATTTCAACCGGCGTTCTCAGCTCCCCGAAAACGTTCACTGCCAATCATTGGCACCAGCACTTCCTCAAAGGTCTATACGGCTGTGGAATGCAGCTCTAGACTGCAGGCGCGTTGCCCTTGCAATGTTGCCCGTGTGCGCCCATGCCTGCTTGCTCTTGCTCCGCGCCAGTATCACAGAACCCTGATTCTGCAGCTGCACTATCGCTGCGTCTCTGCAGGCGCATTCACAGTCCCGACGGGCCGTTACGTCACGGTTGCGTTACTTGGTGGCGCCCCATTTTGTTCCCTGAATCGGGTTTTGATGCGCTGAAATGGTCGCCTCAGATTGTGGGCCACGAGCACAAGTGGCGCGGTGAAGGCTGGAGCGCGCTTCCGCGTGGGCGCCTCGACGGACCTGCGGACGGCGCAGGGGGCGCTGGGTGCGCGGGACTGAGGACTGAGGACCGGGTGGCAGGGGGACAACAACAGGCGGCCGCTTATCTCCGCCAAGTGACGCCTGTCAGAATGGGGCGGGCGAGTGGGCGGCTGCTCTGTCCAAACAGGGGCTTCTGGAATCGGCCAGGTTTTGAGTTGACGCAGAGGTTGGGCAGGACGGCCGTTCTATGGAGTGATTCACCGAAGCTCACGTGGCTCCGTGGCTGCGTAATGAGCTTTCATCGAGACCGCGCAGGGGCTGCAGGCATGCTTATTTAACCATGCAGAAGGCGTAAAAGAAATGATTTATGAATGCATGCAGGCAATTATGTGTCAATGAGCTCATTGAATGATGGCTGCTGGGAAGTAGGACGTGAAGCAGGAAGTGAACTGTGGTAGAGCAACCGTGAGAACCGCCATCCAGGCACGAACGTCGCCTTGCAAAACTGATGATCAGCATGGCAGAAAAGTAACTCAAATTGTGATACCCTATGCCAGCTGCCGGTACTGAATCTGAGGTGACGGTACCGAAGCGATGGTTGGACTGGCAGCGCAATGAGACTTTGCTGGTAGCAAGAAGCATGTTACGGATCAAAAGAGAGTACAAGTGCCGACTTAAGCCAAACGCTGCCGGGTCTAGGCCGACCCGTTTGCATTTAGGACGGTGCTGATACAGTGCTGGCGCCTATTTAATGTGGCATCTCTAGCAGGGAATAGCACGCCTAGCGTCTACGGGCCCCGAACGCGGAGAGCCAGTTGGTAGCAAGGGACGTAGAGGACGCTCGGCGGAGTCTTGGGTGGGGCTTGGGCCGACTATGATGCGTGTATAGTTAAGTTACGGTGCTGACCAACACAGGCGCAGTCTGAATAAACTCGGTACTGGAATGCCGTGGCCGACGTCAGTTCTGCCAGTCGCGGTGCTGCGCGTGGTCGCTCCACGGCTGACAGACAAATGAATCATCAGTTTCACACTGTTTGTGTGTGGTCCGACTGGTTCCAATCGCCCTGCGGTTACCAGACCCGCGACTGCACGCCGCCGACAGCGGCGGGGGGGGGGGAGGTACGACACGGGGGCCGCATGATAGGAATTATGTGCCCATGGACTGCACGGGCCAGCTCCATCGCACCCTCCCACACAAACAGACACCAGCGACGGCTGAGTGATGACGGCTTTTAGCGGCCGGTCGTCCGCGCGTCGCGTCTGAGCGGCAGGGAGATGATCCAGGACCGCGGCGGTCCCCTGAGCCGGCCTGGACCTGCGGGTGACCCGGGGCTCGCTGTAACTGGCCATCCCCCGGGCGCGGCGAGTTGCCTCAAAAGGCATGCTGAGGTGGTGATGGAGACCTGTTGGGCTGGCTTTGAATGGGGTGACGAGCGTGCGCCCTTCGGCTTGCTATAAACGGTGTAGTCAAACGGTTTGAATATTGTTTCAGCTCTTGTTGATACGCCGGTAATGTCACTGGCTGAACACACTTTTACAGCATGAAGGGTCCGACAACTCGCGTCGATCAAAGAAGTTCCGAAAACCCGTGTGAATTCAGGTTTCTCGCCGCGTTTTTCCACGAAGAAGTTTACTGTAGACTTGCGTCCCGGATCATTTCATGAAAGCAAACGCCATTAGTTTAAATTACGGAGCGCTTCTGTTCTGAACCTTGCCGAAACGGTATGATTTTTGCTTGTTTGCTGAGCATGACTGAAGGCACTCTGTGCTTTTTAGCTCCACCGCTCGATGAAAAAATAAAACGCCGTACGGGGGGGGGGGGGCTAACAAGGAATGACTATGTGCCACATGATCAGATGTCGGGTCTGTGGTCCCTATCAATGAATACCGGATATGGGGTCTACAAAAATCTGTCGTTGAGTCCGTAGTCGCAGCGGTCGTATTCCGGTTCTGTGGGCGCCGCGACTCGGTGTTCCGTGTGTGGGCGCCGCGACTCGGTGTTCGGTCTGTAGTGCTTTGACGAGGTGATGGGTCTTTTCCTACACCAAGTGTCGGGTCTGCCGACCCGCTGACCCAATACCGCTTCGACCAAACACCGGAGACCAAATACCGGGTCGACCCAGTACCGAGTCGACCAAACACCGGGTCTTTTAAGTTCGTCCCTGCAGGTGCCGGGCTGTAGGTCGCCGTGCCCCAAGACATTGGGTCTGCAGTCGCAGTGGCCAGACGGGGTCAGCTCTGTGACCCCGTGACCTACAGTCGAAGTAACCCGTCGCCGGACGGCCGCTGTTACAGTGTGCGCCGCCGACCAGTTCCGGTGCGGCGACGGCACGTGCCTGCCAGCGCGCAAGAGGTGTGACCTGCTGGTCGACTGCCCGGGCGCCGAGGACGAGGCTCGATGCAGTATGTCACGAGCAGTGCCGGCTGTCGGCCCCGCCCGGCTCTTTGTGCGTAGCTAGTTCTGCACTGCCTGCCGCGTCGATCCATGTTTTTTAGAGGTTGCACGGGCGGTACAGCACGCGGCGGCTGGTCTTCGAGCGTCCGCGCGTTGCGCAGCTGCCTCATTCGTGATGGGGTCGCGGCAGGTCTGCATGGCCAGACGGATCGCGTCCGGCGATTCTTTTGTGTCTGGCGTCTTGGTAGACTGCCTGCGAGCTGCTGGGGTTCGTGCGGCCTCCGACAGCCGTGTCCACTGCTGAAGCTGCCACTTGTGATGACGTCACCCGTTTCTAAATGCCTGCTCGCACTGGACGACTCAATGGCCAGAGTCGTTTATTTGGATTTGTTCCGCTCTGGTGAACGCATTCGCGTGTTCGGATCCTCTGCATGAAAAGTGGATCCCATAAGCAGGCATGACTTGGTCTAATTTTCTAGTTCCAGAGCGTTTACGAGATGTATCACTTCCCTTTCCTTGCAGATCGAGATTGTCCGCCATTGGGACACAATGAGCAGCCAATTCTCCTCACCGATTTGACTTTTAGTGTAGTAGCAGCCCTTGTTTGTCTCGCAATCAACATACATTCCTGTATGCATGATGCGTCATGGTACGCATGGCAAAAGTGTTATCATCGCCACTGGGATTTTATATATCCTTGCGATGAAACAAATCAATTCTTGTTTTTTTACGTGAGCAAGCAGGTTTTATGCGCCTCACTTTCAAGTCGAAGTCGGTGAAAATGTCTGAATCAGTCCTCTCCACGGTGATAAAACAGTTGTGACGTTCGGGATCAAAATGCGCTCGCCGTGTTGTTTTGTCACAGTCGCCCAGTAACCTTCATATTATTACAGTGGTTTCATGCGCCACTTGGTCATTTGTAAGGCATGGTTTGTTTTGTTTACCGGAAGTTTTTGTATACCGTCTTCCATAGCGATGTCTATCTGTTTTCTTTATTATGCATAGTCATTAGCGCTTCGCAGAGCATGAGATGTTATGCTGTGGTGGACCTAACATGCTGTTTCTGTTTGTTGTGGTTTAGATAAGAGCCCTTTCGGCCGGTAATGACAACTCCAGGGATGTCGGGTGAAGGAGAGTGGACAATGATGGGGCAACACTGCATGCACCTGAGGGTCAATCCGTCGAGGCCTAGTCCGCGCGGGGACCCCTGTACGGGGTAGTTCTCGGCGCTCGGACAGGGCCACACCAGGAGGAACGTAAGCTCGCTCATGGCTCGGAATAAACCTTACCCCGAAGAAACCGAGCGTCACGGAGATGCAGTATCACGCGAGAATGTGGACAGAGGGGTTGAAGGGGGGGGGGGGGGAAAGCTGTGTGTTGACCAGCATTTAAGCCCACTGTCTTCTCTGAATTTGCGCTAGCACAGCGCGCATAGTTGTAGCCCTTCCGGCACCCTATACCATCCCACCATTCACGCAACACAACGTTTGGCGCGTCAAGCTCCAGCAACTGGCTCTAGCGTCCACTTATTGGTGAATGGCCAACGCCGGCAGTCGAACGCCGTATCGCGGCGGGTGGTCCTGTGAATGGCGGCAGCGTTGGACCGCCGGGCGCGGCGCCTCCGCGCTAAACACGATACCACCATCAGCGGCGACCATCGCCGCCTGGCCCACTCGCGGACGGCACCGTCGGAGCGCCTCGACGACGCGCCACATTTCGCTGCCGATGACGGAGGGCGTCGGTGCGTCCGCCGTTGCAGCGCTGCGCGCCCGCCCGGAGGTCAGCGCTAGATGGCGCTCGGCGGCGCGTAACGCCAGAGGTCACCGTCAGGTGGTGTTCTGTGCGATGGTAGTGGAGGTATCCACTAGGGTATCGCCGCCAGATGGAACTCTCCGTGCCGGTGGTGACTGCTCCAGATGCCGTCACACGACTCTGTTCTGAGGATAATCACCGTGGGCGACCACTTGTTAGATAACGCTCTGTGCTGGAAATAAACGCCAGAGACCATCGTCAGGTCCATGGTCGCATAACGGCTTCGAGCTGCGTATCGAGGGTGCTCTCAAATAAGACCTGGTACAGCAGACTATGACATGCCGGTACCTTGTCGTGGCCGACGTTTCGGAGACCAAGGGCCGCACAGTTTTTGCCGTAGCAGCCACGTCGAGTCGTGACACATTGCTACGAAAGGGAGGAATAATCCAAAAAGTGAGAAATGTGGTGTCGCGAAACACAACCCTCTCACGAAAGGATTTCTGCGGCAACCTCCCCACATGGCTTATACTCGACACATCATGGCTCTATTATGAGACGCCTGCGATGCTGCCGATACACAGAGGCCTGACGTCCCGTCACTGCACTGGCTCTCATTGAGTGTGCCCTGCGTTGGCCGGGTCACGGTGCTGTGGCCGACACGGAGTGGGCGTAAGCTGGGTCACACTGTTGTTGCCGACACGAGGTGGGCGTTAGCCCTGGGCTCGCAGTGATCTCACCAGCCGACAATAAACGAACTGACACCGTCAAACGGCACGCCGAAATCCGCTGTTTATTTTCCATGGCCAAATTGCCGTCGCCGGGAAGTAAGCCAGCTCGTCGTATTAGCTTTGCGTGATGAGACGGAGGTTTTTAGGACAAGCTGTCCAGCGGCTGGGGCCGTCTCGTGTTACTATGCTCTCGAGCAACGGCGGGTCGATGGGCATCGGCGCTGCTTTCAGAGGTCGACCTGGTGAGAACGGACCCCGGGCGCAGATGGGCGGGGCGGACCAAAGGATGATCAATGGTCGGAGATCGGGGAATGGCCGGAGATGGTCCGCGTGGTTGGAGATCGGGGAATGGCCGGAGATGGTCCGGATGGTCTGAGATCAGGGAATGGCCGGAGATGGTCCGGATGGTTGGAGATCGGGAAATGGCCGGAGATGGCCCGGATGGTCGGAGATCGGGGAATGGCCGGAGATGGTCCGGATACCATCGGGACTGATTTGTATTGACTGGTAACAGGACATCGTCAGACAGGGCCAGATGCCGAATCAAATCTTATTGGGGGGCAAGCTCCGAAGTCGGCGTCAGTCAAAAACAAAACAGTGCAACGATAAGGTTTTAGACGTTTTCCGGCGTTTGGGAAGAACTATGACTTTGCTTCCACCCCCTCTGGATCAACCAATGTGATCATCAGTGAACCGGGTGGGACTAAATACGTTGTTCTTCACGAAACACGCTGTCACAGCGGCTAGTTCCACGAAAGAAATTGGTTGATCTTCGTCGGCTTCTCATCTTGGCGTGACTGTCACACACTTAGTTCGCAGTATCGGTCTCTTTGTTCAGGAGAATTAGATGTTGCGGTCCCTGCATGCTATTTCATCCATTTGGTCTGTTTGGTCGAATCATCAATATATCGGCATTGGCCGATCTAGCGGATCTATTTCCTGCTGCATCAGTCTGCTCTGGTAGTTTCCATGAACAGCGCTGTCAACTGTGAATGACGAGATAATCTCCGCCCTCAGCAGTGGTCATCAGCGCTGTTGGTGTTTACCTCTGCAGAGCACCGTGCACGCTCCGCTGTGGGTCAGACGGCGATGAATCATTTAGCTGGGGATTCGAGAGCGTCCCGGCAGTTCCGGCCGCGGCGCTGTGGATGGCGAACGTGCGGCCTCATGGAAGTCAGCTGCACAGGCCGTCCGGCGGCCGCCGCCGGTGGGCTGTGCGGCGCCCAGACCGCCAACAAAGCGGCGGTGGGCCGTCCATCTCTCCTCTCCTGCAGCCTCTGTAAATATTGACCGGCGGCGGCATGATCGGAGTCCTCCTCCCCCACACCCCCTGACGGCGGGGAGGGGGGGGGGGCGGCGGGCACACGACGCCTCCACCCCCCCCCCCCCCCATCCCGGCACCCCACCCCCGATCAGTCGTCATGGCAACAGCTGCAACAGCCGAGACGCGACTTGCAGGCTGCAGAGTCACAGTGACCTGATGTAACGCAGTGGGCGCACACGGCGCCTGACGGACAAATTGGACCCACCCTGCTCCTCCTCATCAGCCGAGCCCTGAGGCCGTGTCCGCCAGCTGTCAGGACAATGACAACTAACGATTACACCAGCCGCCCGGCTCATCCGCAGCCTGTCGCAAGCTTTGTCGGTCGCTGAAAGAAGGACTCGATGTCATATCAGAGGATGCCGGTGGTGCTTTTGCAAGCAATCAGAGACATGTTGGCAGCAGTAGAAACATTTTATCTCCAAAGGAATTGAACATTTTGCCATAAAACAGAGTTAGTTGTATAAATTTGTGAACCAATGCTGTAGAACACCAATGGCAGCAACACTTTTCCTTGTGGAAATGGCTTCATTCACACGTAATAGCATTGCACAATGTGCGGTAATACAGCCTCGTACTTTCTGCAGAGTCAGCTGACTCACAGCTGCACATCTCTAATGTCAAATGCGGTAATGCAACCTCGTACTTCCTGCAGAACTGGCTAGTGCACAGCTGCCCATCTCTACTATGTTTATGCATGTATATCATGAATAGCACCCAACGTATAGAAATCAGGACGTGATTTGGGCTATTGTATTTCTAAAAGCTTCTGTTATAATGTGATACTTTTTTGACGCGCAGAATAAGTAGTTTGCTCTTTGATGAAAGATGAAGTGAAGTGTTTCGTAGCATTGGACAAAAAACCTATACTTGAGACTCGGTTTCTTCGACAGACATTGCAAATTGCTTACGTTCCGATGCTAACAATTGCCAACTCAGTGAACCTCATGAGCATCGGCGTAACTCTTATAGGGCTCGGACCTATTTGCAGGTGGAGGAAAATCACAGGACCGCGTCCTTTTTGAGGACAGAAAACCTGTGCAATCTCCTTAAACAGTTGGCCTGCAGGCAACAACTAGCTACTTATACGGAGTAAACGGTGAATGTTACTTGATGTTATGGTATGCGTGAGCGTGTAAGAAGTAACTGCGATCGCAAAACGAAGGTTTGACACACCTAACTGGACCAGGGCTTTCCACCGAGGAGC